TGCATTGACCTAAGTTTGGTCTAATAAAAGTGAAGCCTTTGAGCATATACATTGTATCAACCCCATTTAATGTTGTTGTTATGCTCAAAACCAGTAGCAAGCACACTCCCTGAAACGTGAAATACCTAGTGATACAAATTACCCCACCATGTGATACAACTCACCCAAGCCATGGGGCAAGTTGTATCAAAAACATTGTTCTATTCGGCAGACCGTAGAAGAAAAACTGGTAGGGGAAGGAGGGTGAATTGCGCCACCTTAAGGAAAAACGTTAATTGTAAGAAAACTACTGGAGAAAGCATGCACTGGTAACCATTTTAAAGAGGAACTCATTGGCTACGATTTAAGACCTTCCCAATCAATTAAGAATGTTTCGTTTGCTTCTGACAGCTGCTTTTTCAGAAACATGCAAAAGGGCGCATTTACCAACAACTGCTGTAAATTGCGCCAGGGGGATGGCGCAATTAGAATCCAATTGCGCCCTATCCTTTAACATGGCTAAGCAAAGGAGACGGAATGCATACACTCCGGCATTCTATGTCATTGTGGCTTACTTGAACATGTATTATGTGAATCAAGCTCGATACATAATAAATGTAGATATAAATTGCGATGTTTTTTTGCGCAGGTAAATAACTTTACTTGTGTCCGGTATGCTTGTGAAGTGGAACGACAACGTTTGATGTAACCGACTAGATATATATATGAACGTATGCGCCTAGACGGTTATATTTTCAGTTGTTTCTCTCAAAATTATATTTTTTATTGCTTCTACAACTTTTTTGACATCAGTTTTTACTTTTTACCATAGCTGTCACCTCTCACGCCTGTGTCCATGTTAAAAATGCCGTATTTTGTCAATTACACCGGGCAAGCTCATAGCCCAAATGGCAGCTACATTATAAGTTCGATGAGAGAAATAATTTTTGGACTGACGATTGCGGGTTGCTCCCCTGCCTGACATAAAACTCCCTCTTTATTGCAATCAGTTAATGATGCATTCATACTGTCGTGATACAATAGCTACACCATTATTCTATTTGCGCCCCCCTGGCGCAATTGCCATGGGCGCAATTAAAATTGAGGTACTTTTTAATAAAAGTGTAGAAGTTACCATAAAGATGCTGAAGGATGTTTACTGTTTCAGTGAAATATAATGAAAAAAGGATTTTTCTTTCCAAATATCACTCTCCAAATGACACATGTATCGCCTATTTTTATAGCCAACGGTTCAAAATGCTGCAAAAAAGTTAAGAAAACGCCGTAATATCTTCGATGGCGTAATGAGCCTTGCTGATTGGCTTCATCGGAGAGCTTGGGCCATAAAAGGAACTATCCAGTGGTGAAAATAATGTTTTCGAAAACAAAATGCTGAACATGCCATTGAATTCGTGGGAATGTGGGTGGGCGCAATTGGTTAGGAGGGCGCAATACACCCACTTTCCCCTAGAGGTAGCGGAAAAGTTACTGTGCACAAAAAAGCAGAAGAATCAAGGAAGGAGATAGTATGGAAATAATGAGTTTATCACGGATAGTTACGAGGTTATGGGTCTCGGAGTAAAAACTGATACAACCCACCCCACTCTCCCCTAATGAGTCCATTCTTCGTTCCTCGAAATCGCTACGACGTGCGGTGGGACAGAAGAACGGTGGTGCGCTAAAGCGATTCGGAGCCAAGGTCTACTGAAGTTCTTTTGTAAAGGTAAGTACCTATGCATTTCTAATCGCCGGTATGTGTTCGTTTGTTTTCTTAGGCAAGCGAAAAAAGGCGGTTTCGGCCTAGTGAGACAATTCAGTGCCAGAGGAACGATAGGAGTTAGGAGGCAGGGAGGTTGACATTGGTCTGGGCGGTCACCCTGGTGCACCACCGGGGCTGAGGCCGTCTCGGTGAGCAGACCACCCAGCTTTGCAAACGACCAGTGACCATCCGCACAGACAGGCGCACTGAGCAGGCCCCGTCGGGAGCTGGGAGCTACTCGAATCCGATGATGGTGACCACCAGCTCGTATCAGAGTGATCTGTGGAAGATTAAGGATTTATGGGTCCTGCGGACGGAAAAAAGGAACGGAGCTTTCCTTACCCCTGGACCGAGCGCTGTAGCCAGTAGCCTTGATTCGGCCAATGTTGATGACACACGCCACCTATGGGACGTTTAGATAACTACGAGTTCATGTAGCTCCTACTCGGCCAGATGACGCGCCATGCCATGTCATTGGTCAGTGGAGGAGAGGAACGAGAGCGTGATCGGACGAAAATAAAATAAAACAGATACGATACAATATACACAACATACATTCTCTCTCTGTGATCTGCAGGTTTTTTTGCGAAGTTGTGCGCTTGTTTTGCCGAAGAAGTGAAGTTCGTCTCAAGATTCGTCAGTCGTGGAGTTGCGCTCATTCCATAGCGAGGTAATGCGGTACAGTATAACTTCAGGCGTTCAGCTACTGCCATCTAGGGGCGAAATATGCGGTAGCCATGCGGTACAGTATAACTTCAGGCGTTCAGGTGCTGCCATCTAGGGGCGAAATATACGGTAGCCGTGCGGTACAGTATAACTTCAGGCGTTCATCTAGGGGCGGAATAAAAAGTAGCGTAGGTATTAGTTAGGCTCCCAAAACTTTTGTGGTAAGTGATGGTAACTGTTACAATTTATTTTGCACTCCCATTCGCGTCTCATGCCTTGTTAGTTGTCCACACCTTTTTACGGCTAAATATAGACATAATGCACACAGTTCAATAATAGTGCAACCGATTTGGACAGTTCGCCATAGACATTAGACAGACTATGCTGTAGGCCTACTGTCCAAATCACCTGCGTTATTACTGAAATGTGTGCATTGTCGCCTAAATTGGGCGTAAAAAGGTGTATTAAAGGCATTCCTTGGATGTAATTGTTTGGCAACTGAATTACCTGCTAAGTGTTTTTTTTTTCGCGCATATAACGTTCGTGGTGCAGTGTCGGTACATATATTGGCATCTTCAGCCAGAGATTCAGCAGACCAGACAGTTTCCAATTCCCGACTCAGGCTGGGCCCCAGCCTGACATAGTCACCGCATCAGGCCAAACGAGGCTCATCCTTCAATGTATATGAGAATGGAGCCTGGTTGCCAGGCCTCCTCAATAATTAAACAGAGCCGAGCTGCTGCTAAGCAAACGTTAGGCGCACGCTGTCGGGAGAGGGGGACGGAGAGGGGTGTGGCGAAATCCACCACACCAGAGGTCGACGGCAGGTCGGCAGTTGCTCGCACGAGTGTGCCCAGCCTGCAGGCGCTCATTGGGTGTGCTCTCGGCTTGTTACAAAGGCAGCCATAATGCTGTTTCTCAGGAGCGTCACCGGTGTCGTGTATTTAGTGGCCGTGACGTCGGCAGTGGCTGCACCGGACCAGCAGCCGTCAGCTGCCGCCCAGCTGTCACAGCTGCTGGGCCCGGTGGTGGAGGCCGCCGTGCTGCGCGCGCTGGCTGCTGAACGCGCCGCCCAGCAGCAGTGTGCGGCCGACGCCGGTCAGCGGGCGCTAGAACGGCTGGAGGAGCGACTGGACCAGCTGGGCCGGGAGGTGGCGGAGCTGCAGGGCGCGCTGGCCGCCGGCCGGGCAGCAGGGACGGAACAATGTGGCAACAACAGCGGACAGCCGCCGCCGGAGGAGTCGGAACCGGAGTCGGGACCAGCCTGTGAGCGGCAGCCGCTGCCTCTCCCGGCCGGTTCAGCGTCTCACCAGCCGCCGGAAAGACGCGCCTGCGCCCGCTCCTGTCTGCAGCTGCGCGACCAGGGCGGCTCTCCCCGGGACGGCGTCTACTGGTTCACCGGGATGCCGGTGCCGGTGCTGTGCGACTTCAGCCACGACGACGGCGGCTGGACGCTGCTGCTCACGGCTGCCTCTCAGCACGGCTGGGATACGTTCAGCGTGCTGGGCCGCAGCACAAACTCCCCTTCGCTGACCGATAACTACTCGATCCTGCGGTACGCCGACACCATCCGAGACCTGGGTAACGGCACCCGGTTCGCCTACCGGATCGAGGCGCAGGCGGAGACAGGTCGCCGGCGCTGGGGAGGAATCTGGTTCGCTCCGCGCCACTACAGCTTCATAGACGAGACGGCCACCCAAACTGACGTCCTCCTGGCCAGGAGATTTGACCTCTGGACGCCCAAGGACAAAGGCATCGAGCAGCGAATGCCTTGGATCAACTCTCGAGGCGAGTTTCACATGTTCCCGGTGCTGACGACAACCTCTCCTGGGGGTGACGACTGGTGGGGTACGCTCGTATCACATGAGAGCTACAACGACTTTGAGCAGAGCGCCTGGATCCACCCGGAGGCGCGCTCGTCCGGTACTGTCCTCTACTGGGTCAAGGAAGAATGGCTGGACGTGTAAAACGCGCAATCGCACCCCTCACATGATCACTATTCAACCCGGTTTTCGTTGGTGGGGAGGTGAGCTTATAAATAACATATTTACAGTATTTAGGCGTGCAAATATAACATGAAGCCTACTCTAGCCTACATTGCACCGATCATCTGCGATTTAGGCCGTGTAGCAATTAATGCATCACCGGCTACCGTTGTTAATATGAGTCTTGCTGTATGTACGAGGGACTGCGTTGACACCTAGTGAGAGAAGCTAGAAGCTTTGGCTAGATGGCGCTGGTGTCAGCCGCGCCTTTAGCCATCTCCCGTAAGCGATTCCTGAGGGATATTGCTTACAGTGCAAATGGTCTCACGAGTCTGTTTATGTTGTGAATTCAGTGCTGATTTCGCCAAAGAACCGATGATGCCCAATGCTTGCATCGTAAAAAAACACGACTGCGATCTATGCCGCGGCTCTAGTAATCGTGGCAGCTTAATAATTGCTGCTGGCCCGCTCGTTTGCAGCTGCTAGGCTCACAATTCACATTGAAGTTTATATCCCTTCTGAAAAGCGTCTGCCATTCTCGTTTGTTCTTTGTTCCCATAGTGGCACCCCACGAGTAGGCTACAGCCCATCCTCTGACAAAGCACTCTGGCATCGTTCAGTGGTCATATATTATCGCATGGCGTTTACACATAACAGAGCAGCGATACGGACGGAGCTGCCCGGGGCTGTCGACGCCGCTCTCTGCCCGCTCGCCGCTCATCTAATCCAGTACTCGGCGCAGCAGTCCCCACACGGAGAGACGAGACGGGCCGGGGCCGCATTTGGCACGGGCCGGCGACTTTAGCGGTATATCTGCGGCGGATATGCGGCCAAGTCGTCGGCCCTCCGACCCCCGTGGAACAGTGGGATCAACACTCCGTGGTCCAGAATAGCATGGCTACATCGCCGAGAACACGGCACCTAAGTGTCTACATATACTATATACACAACGAACAACACTTGGGCAATGATATGATACCTCGGCTGCACAACAGACGTGCCCCCTGTTCCCTCAGAGCACATCATGTCTGGTGCTCCTTCATAACACTGAGTCCCGAGGACTTGAACAGAACGCTCCGTGTCGTTCTAATCACCGTCAACTCATACTCCCCGACTCACACAAACACACACGCTGGTTCTCACTACACGCAATTTCACGGAGCTCTGCTCAGGGCTGAGAGAAGAGCAGGAGATGCGGACGACGCGATCACATGAGGCTGACTGAACGTTCGACTTTTGGACGCTGGCACTGTCGCGCTGAGGTCGACCTCTGACGACCTTGGTGTGACCTTTGACCTCACGACCGTCCCAGACAGCGGCCCGGCCAGGACATGGCAGCAGCAGCGGAAAGCACGGAATGTCGCCACCTGAAACCAAAGGAGACGGCGGTAAGTATGATGTTGGTCACTGGCGGATCCAGGGGGGGGGGCCACCGGGGCCATGGCCCCCCCCCAAAAGCCTGAAAGGGGGGGCCAACATATCTTTTGGCCCCCCCCCCCAAAACGCTTGGAGAAAAATTAATGTGAGAAGGTTGCGTAGTAGATACCTACTAGAATCAGCAGCGTGATTCAATAGCGTAGAGAAAGTCAGGGGCGCGGGAACTACTTTCAGACTGGGGGAGCACACCATAATAGAGATCAACCTAGGGTCCCCCCAAATCTAGTTTTCTCACCGGTTTTAGGCCACTTATTTTTCATCCCTTAGCTTTTTCAACAAAAAAAAGAAACAGTTGCAAAAAAGGACGGTATTCCGTCTGAAAGTTGTGGGGGCACCGCCCCCACTGGCGGATCCAGGGGGGGCCACCGGGGCCATAGCCCCCCAAAAGCCTGAAAGAGGGGGCCAACATATCTTTTGGCCCCCCAAAACGCTTGAAGAAAAATTAATGTGAGAAGGTTGCGTAGTAGATACTAGAATCAGCAGCGTGATTCAATAGCGTACACTGAGAGCTGTTTTGATTCCTTTTAAGCATATTAGGGGAATTGGTCTAAAACAACACCCTGATCATTTCTCCGAATATACCCCAAATACACTTTCTTTGAATATCACTCTGAAATTCTTCTAATATACCCTACACTGAGAACCTTTTTGATTCCTTTTGAGCATATTAGGGGTTTTGGTCTAAAACAACACCCTGATCATTTCTTCGAATATACCCAAACTATACCCTTGTTCTTTAAATAGCTCCCTTGAATTCTTCTAACATACCCTAGTAAGTACCGAAGAGGAAAGGAATATGATTCCTGTTCTATTCCCTGCGATACCCACAGTACACTCCTTTTAACCTACCAAAATACCCTTACATCGAAACCTCTAGTATTCCTTCTAAGCGTATAAGGGGAATATTTTGCAAACTATACTCGCATTATACCACGTAACACTCCCGTATTATTCTTGTGATTTCCATCACTGATCTCAATGTATTCTTGCATTAGACCCCACATAAACCCAGAAGGGAAAATAATAATGCCCTAGGTATATTCGTCGTAGAACTTGCTCAGAAACTGTCTCATTACTCTCAGCTCCCTCGTCCGATTTCCCTTTATATATCGTAACACATCCAAAACGAGGGTTAAGGTTTTATCCCCAGCAGGGCGCGTATGGCTGAATAGCCCAGCGGGGCGCGGGTTAGTGGTCAGCAACACGTCCAGGGAGCGACTGCCCGTCCTCCTCGCCCGCCCGGCCGGCCAGTCCCGGCCCGCCGACCGGTCACCGCCGGAGGCGCCGAGCGGCACAGGTACGGTATCTGACAGTAGCGGCAGAGACTGTACACTAGGGTATATTAGAAGAATTCAAGGGAGGAATTTAAAGAATGAGGGTATAGTTTGGGTATGTTCGAAGAAAATGATCAGGGTGTTGTTTTAGACCAAAACCCCTGATATGCTTAAAAGGAATCATTTGAGGAATCATTTGAGTATCTAAAGGCATTCCGCCAGGAAAACGGCAGAGTTATAGGAGCATGACACACCATGATCAAAGGGAATAGAGAATCGTTTTGGTTTTCAGTGTAGAGAAAGTCAGGGGCGCGGGAACTACTTTCAGACTGGGAGAGCACACCATAATAGAGATTAACCTAGGGTCCCCCCAAATCTAGTTTTCTCACCGGTTTTAGGCCACTTATTTTTCATCCCTTGGCTTTTTCAACAACAAAAAAAGAAAACAATTGCAAAAAAGGACGGTATTCCGTTTGAAAGTTGTGGGGGCACCGCTCCCACTGGCGGATTCAAGGGGGCCACCGGGGCCATGGGCCCAAAAAGCCTGAAAGAGGGGGCCAACATATCTTTTGGCCCCCCAAAACGCTCGAAGAAAAATTAATGTGAGAAGGTTGTGTAGTAGATACTAGAATCAGCAGCGTGATTCAATAGCGTAGAGAAACCCAGGGGCGCGGGAACTCCTTTTAGACGGGGGGGGGGGGGGAGGTCACACCATGATAGAGATCAACCTAGGATCCCCCAAATATAGTTTTCTCGCCGGTTTTAGGGCACTTATTTTTCATCCCTTGGCTTTATCAACAAAAAAAGAAAACATTTGCAAAAAGGAGCGGTATTCTGTCTGAAAGTTGTGGGGGCACCGCCCGCACGGCCCCAGAGTTGGGGGGGGGGGGCAAGCTGCCACCACTGCCCCCTCCCCCCGGTTCCCGCGCTTATGGAGAAACTACCGGGTTTACTAGCTTCCTTCATAAAGTGTCGTCATGTCTTATCGTCACCCGAGAAGGTCTTATTGCATAAATATCGATTGAGCTGTCAAGTTAACAAACTTGCTGTGGCAGCCTGACCTGACATGACCCCGCGACTTTTCATTCACGGAATATTCGCAATAAATTTTTTAGGAAAACTCACTGAGTTTTCGTTGAAAAAAAAAAAACTTGTTTTGTTTCGTAATTGTACAAGAAGCATATGAGGGACCTTTTTGTCCCTTCCTGCGAAACGGTAAAAGACTTATTTCGGTCACAGCTCAGGCCAATCTTTAAGGGTCAGTCGGGTCACTTATTTCTTAAAAGGGTCCTTACGGCATCCAAGGACCAATTCCGGCTTTTGAGTGCGCCACATCAGCATTTGATGCTACGACAGATGTCGAAATCTGAATATATGTTATCAGGCCGTATGAAAATTCAGTCCGTTTGCAAACGGCCTGGCCCAGTCAGGCCATATGAAACTACCTGAAAACACCGGCCGTTTGCAAACTATGACCTGAAATATCAGACCGTTTGAAAACGACCTAGTTAGTTTCGGCCTAGCGGATCCAGGGGGGCCACGGGGTCATGCCCCCAAGCCTGAAAGGGGAACAACATATATTTTTTGTCCCCAAAAACACTTAAGAAAAATGAATGTGAGAAGGGCGTAGTAGGTAGAGAGAAAATACCGTATCATTAAAAATCTGTGAGCTTGATAAAAGTGTTGGTCTTGTCTTCACCCAAGAAATTCTTATTGGACACTTTAACCATGGATGAAAGAACCTTCATCCCCTGGTTCTCCTTCATCCATGCTTTAACACTCGATCGACGTGTGAAGTTATCGTGTAAGGTATCATGAAGCCGATCGCGACGAAACTTTAGTACCCTCATGGTGACAAAGTCTGAAAATTTCATGACCCTGACCCAAGTGAACTTTGACTTGTGGCCTATTTCTCGAGACTGTTTGGCCATGTTGGAGGCCATGTTTGGCCGGAATAGCGATTCGGCGTATGTCGGCTCACATTATCCGCGCTTTTATAGTCTTTTCGTGGTTTAAAACGCTCAAACATGTGATATGATGTTGCTCCCACGCATTGGCGGATGCCAATGTCACCTTACGGTCGTCAGGTCATTGACCTTTGATGACCTCGGTGCACTTTTCCGAGTTTAACATGTTTCTAGGATAGTTTCGTTTAGCTGATTTTGAATTTAGCATTTTGCAGCCATTTGAACATTTACGAAGTAGTTTTGATGCCTTCGTATCATGTTACGTAGCTGCCAGTGTAGTGGACACCTGCTATACGGACGCCCATAAGTAGGTACTCCTACTGGTTGATCTGACCTGACCTGCCCCGACATGGTCTAAACGCATGAAGACATTATCTATGATCCAAACTAACATGAAATTTGTGATCAGCACAAAAAAAACGTATTACAGCCTTACTTTAGGAGGTTCTGACAGGTCCTGATTTTCCCGTCTTTTGGGTCTGTGACCTGACCTGGGCGGTGTTTCACGGCACGCTGCCAGCCGCTGCCAGCGCTGATGGCACTTTTGGTTTCAATGGAGACATCAACAAGCCTATACCCACAACACTACCGAAGGCTGACCTTAGCTCGCGGAATGCGCTGTCAGCGGCTGTCAGCACGACCGTGAAACACCGCCCTGGAAGGTCAACCAATGACCAAGGACCTTAAAATCGGGTATCATCGGCTTCGTCTCGTCACTCACGGGCAACACGCCTGTTTTTTTTCCGCGAGCTCTAGCTTAATCAGGGGCCGAACGGCAGGGGGTCCAACCGACACCTCCCAGCCTGCGAAGGCTGCGCCACGCACCGACCCGGAGCGGGCTAATTGATCGACAAAAGCAATTTGAAGTGTTTTCAAAGTAATATTTAGGCTCGGGTTGGGTGGGCTACCATTTCTATATTTTTTATTTTTAGTTAAAAAAAAATATCGTTTCAGGGCTGTGACGAAAAAATAAGTGGCCTAAATCCGATGAGAAAACAGGATTTGGGGTACCCTAGGTTTGGTTACTTGCAGGAGTTGGCCCCCCCCCCCAAAACGCAAGTCTGGATCCGCCAGTGATGTTGGTCATATCAACAACGAACAAAAAGGCCGGGGGACGAGGGGGCGGGGGTGTGGATAATTTATTTAAGGTACCTAACCGGTTATCAAAGCATTTGATGTGTCTAAAAAGTGGAAGAAAGTGCATGAGCAGAGTAAATCACAGAATACGCGGAATAATGCTGAGTAGAAGTGTCGGACAGGGAACGAGGGACCTCACGGAACATGACAATGTTACTTCAGAACCATATTGATCAAGCCCCGTCTCATTAAGACAAAGGGTGGAGTATGGACGGTAAGAAAAGACGTCAAGAAAATATAACACTTCACACACGACAGAGCAAATCACACTACAAACGAACACACGAGACATTTCCACTAAAAAAGAATCCGCCGAACGCGCTCAAATATAAAGCCCAACAGAGCAGCTCTGTTAGAGAAAACCCGGCGCTTGACTTTATTGCCATGAACTTAGGACGTCAGTCACGGGAAAGGGCGGACGTTAGTTCCAGCGACTCTTCCAAACGACCGAACTGCACCGAAGTTATGAGATGTTTGTACTCCACGCATTCTAGCCGTTGAATCGTGACATGTCAGGCATCCATGACGTCCTCAAACGCCGAATGCCGTCAC